CTCTGCCTCCCGAGTGCTGGGATTAAAGGCGTGCGCCACCACCGCCCGGCTCATAGTTAGGTTTTTTATTACATACTATAAGCACAAGTTCATTTAACTTTAAAGATGATTCTCATTATAGTTATTTATGTGACAAAGCATATTTATTAATGTGTATACGATATTGTAATGTATGTTTTGATTTAATTTACCTTTTAGGCCCTTCAAGAGACTATTGATGCTTTTCAACAAAGGCATGAAACCTTCAGAAATGCAATTGCAAAGGATAATGACATGCACCTAGAAGTGTCTGTAAGTTCTTAACTTTAAGATCCTCTATCTCTGTATTCTCAAAAACACTGTCTAGTCATTCTGTTAACAAACCCTCTCCCTTGCAATACCAGAATTGGTGATTTAGAGATAATATCATTCTCTCTTAGCTGGATATAGTGGTAAGTGCCTTGAAGTGCTTTGAAAGTTTCACTTCCTTTCCTAGATCTTGAGTATCAGAACATGGTTTGAACAGCATTGGTAACGTGCTATTTAAAAGGTATAGTATTTTTTTCTATTAGAAGTGAACCTGTCTTTCTCATATAGACTGCTGAGCTAGGAAAGAGAGCCCCGAGATGGATACGTGATAATGAAGTGACAATGTGCATGAAGTGCAAGGAGTCCTTCAATGCACTGACAAGAAGACGACATCACTGCCGGGCGTGTGGACATGTGAGTGTGGTACTTGGTCCTTACAGCTGCTGGTGACTATATAGCTGAAATAAAATCATCAGCGTGAAACAAAGAAAGCATTAGCAATCATTCAGTAAGCCTGTTTTGGAGCTATTTATGAGCAAAGTACTGTGCTGTCCCATGAAGAAAAAGAATATGGTGAGCAAAAAATTTCTGGCTTCATGGAGATTACATTGTGAAGAAGAAAATAGATAAGAATTCAAATTAGTATGAGTGGAATAAGAAAGCAACCAGAAAGCTGAATTGGAAAGTATTAGTAATGGAAGATTTCAAACCAGATCTAATTAGACAAAAGAGGGCCTAGCTGAGAGACTGATATTTGCTTAGATGCCTAAAAGGGGAGAACGTCTTCACCCTAGAGGGGAAGCAAGAGGTGCTTTGCACACAAGGAGCTGTACCTACATCTCTGCAGTAGGACAGCCCTGAAGTTGCTAAGGAAAGCCTGTAGCTGGGTACAGGTGCAAGTTCGGGGGAGCGAACTGGGTGGGTTCACCGCTTGGGGCCTGTTAGAATGAGAGATGAGGGCATCTGAGGTCCGTGTTACATTTTTATGACTTGGACAGAATCATCAACTGAAAGTAAAGAGACATGCCCTCTTCCTCACTCACCTACTGCGACTCCTCTTGCCCCTGATGAAAACCTGTAAGAGCAGGACACACAGTTTTGTTCTTTGGGATTGGAGACTCTCTCTTCAGACCCCTGTTGTGCTATACATGGTATTAGAGCTCTCCCTGTGCTCTCCCACTTCAGTCTCTCATGGCTGCCTGTGGCCATGATGTTTTAATTCTTCTAATCAAGCTCTTTGGAAGGGCATCTTCATCTTGGCTTCTTTTCTATGAATCTGCCCTTTCCTATAAGTTATAACACATTGGCAACAAATTTACAAATGACTGAGCTAGATAGATCATGAGATAACAGCTGGGTGTGAGAGATGCGTAGAGCCAATGGCAAGCCTCAAAGGTGCTATGGGCTTTAGAAAACAAGAAAAAAGATTGAAAGGTCCAGGTCTCAATGCTGAAGTCCACAGAAGTGATTGGTGAGCTAACAGGAAATCACCCTCTACTTGAAGGTAAAGAAGAGTTTGATCCTAGAATGATGGTTTCACACTTTAAGAAGCAGAGAGAAAATAAGAGACTTTCTTAGTATATTCTATAAACAGAGCAGTATTCACAGAGGTGAGGCTGAGAAAATAAGCAGACACTGAGGCACGATGGAGTTAATTCTGTTTGTCTCTGAGATGAGAATGGGTAAGCAAACCTAGTACTGTGGTACCAGCTACTTCCTTTGGTGGCATGGCTGCCTGTCAGTCAGCATACTGAGTGTGACAGGTTGCTTGCTGAGGTGGACATGAATTACTTGGCCTTGGAGTAAACACTAGAAGGGAGACTAACAAGGGCTGGAGCTAGAGCTGGAGACCAGGCCAAGAGCAAACCTAAGTGACGTGTATGAAGTATAGGGAAAACATTGGTTTCAGTAGTGGGGAAGGTAAGGAGTACCCAAGGGTAGCTCTCAACGTGAGGCTCTGGTGACCGGATGTGTAAGGAACCATAAGTGACACACGTGACAGGAAAACAGAGGTGTGTCTCACTGCTCTTCCTTCATTCTCCTCAGCTGTGGCTTGTTTGCTCTTATTTATTCTTTGAATAATTTTCATTTCTAAATTGTGTTTTCTTCTCAGTCTACCCGGTAGTTTTTGTTAGTTAACAGTTTACTTTGCTCAAACATTTCTTGTTTTGGAATATGTATTTTAGAACGTGTATTCAGTAATGCCAGTGTCTGAAGAAGCATTGACTAGGAGAAATCACTTGCCAGTGGTTTCCAGTTGTGCTTTCTGGTGTTGTTGTTGGTTTGTTTGCTTTGGGTGCTTCATTTTGGTGTAGCTCTCCTGTGACTGCATGCCAGCATTTGGTTGGTGCTTCATTATGCTTCTTTTGCACATTCTAGAATAATGACTAAGTCTCAGATTCCCCTCTCCTATGTCAGTCAGGCTCCAAGGACTTTCTCCACCTATTAAATGTGCTTTTTCCTTATTAGCATAACATTACAGTTTCAATTCACCGTTTTTTCTCTAATGTATTTATTTACTGAATAGCTCTGTTTCATTTTTTGTACCTTGAAGAGCCATTTTTAATTCAAAAAAACTGAACCATTAAAATTGCATTTGCTTCGTATCCATAATCTAGTTCTACTATGGCAGAAAGCTTCTCAGAGAACTAGCTATGAAGTCTGTCTGGTAGAGAGAAGCAAGAATCAAAGCATGCTTAGTAATGGCATTTATTCCATTTATGACTTTTATATGGTCTATCAGTAGTAGCAGTATAAATGTAACTTTTTTCTGAGTAAGGCATTTATCCAAGAGGTATTTCTGATTGTAACTTAATAATTACATTGTTAACATATAAAAACAAATATGTATTTGTATATATGTAATTATGTAATGCTACATAATTAGAGCATGATTTGGCCAACCACTGAACTGAATTTCATTTGGAATATGTGTGAAATGAAGTTAACAGGGTAGGGGAGAGTAGTGGCTTTGGAGGGGCCCTTAAAAACCAAGTTGAGCATTGCACTCTTTTTCTTAAGATTGAGTAAACGTGTTATGATCTAATGTTATTTGTATGTTAAACACAACAATTTAGATAGATAACTCTTAGTTTATTCTCTTTTATGCTTAAAATTTCTTGCATCTCTTTTCCTGACACTTATATTAAATATATTGAGGCAGATTGTAATCAAAACTACATCAGTGGCAAACATCTATCTCAGAATAAACTATTGATCTTCAAGTTTGCTTAAAATGATTTCCGGTACTGGCATACTTGAACTTTGGTCAACAGATAAAAAGAACTTGCATGTAGATTATCAAATATGATGATATGAGTTGAATATAAAATAGTTGAATTGAGTTTACAGATACATGTATGTCTAGCACAAAACATCCTAAGTAAGTTTGTTATAATTATGAAAAAAAAACTGTGGTATTTATCAAGGTTGAGTAGAAATTGAACCTGAGACTTTGAACACTAAGTCTTTATTCTACCATTGAGCCACACCCTTAGCCCTTGACCATTTTGGGGTATATTTCAACTGCTATGAATCTATTCCATATTTTTTACTTATAAGCTCATGCATTTTTAAATAGATTTTTATCTACTATAAATATGAGGGAAATGTAATTTCCTAAACAAAAAAACAAATTGCTTAAACCTAGAAAACTTCTAGACAATTAAAATAATTTGAAAAGCAGCATTGATTCACTCACATGCATTTGCATTATTGTAATCGACTTATTGACATTCTGCAACTGTTGTGTGTGGTGAGCAAAGTATCCCATAACAATCTCCTGTAGAGTTTATAGGAAATGGACAAGTAGTCATACAAATCTATAGTTAAAAACTATTCAGTGCTGTAAATGAAAGGGAACTTCAGTGGCAGTAACAAGTCAGGCTCTGTTCTAAACACTGAAGGAACTGTCTTCCAGAAGGAGGAAGAAGGGAAACTGAGACTTCCAGGACTGGAGGAGATGGAAGACAAAGGGGCATGGTGCTCTGGGCTGTAGGAGAAGGAAGAGGAAGGGAGCATGTGGTACTCTGGGGATATGAGAGCCAGTGTCGTCAAAGACAGACTGATCACACAGGACACCATAGATTATAATAATGTTTTCTTTAACCAGAAACAAAGGAAAAACTGAAGGGTTTTTGTTTTGTTGTTGTTGTTTTTAAGACAAAGTCTAGCCCTCACTGTCCTAGAATGCTCCTCTATGTAGACAAGGCTGGTCTTGAACTCACAGAGATCCTCCTGCCTCTACCTCTATCTCTTGTGTGCTGGCACTTAAAGCATGCACCACCATACATGGTTTTAGACTGAAGGATTTTTTCAATGTAAGAGGAATGTATCAAACTCTACCTAAAGAGAGCCTTCTAGCCACTATTTGGAAAATAGATTTTCGTAGACTGTTAGGGTGAAGCCTAAGTATGTGGTAAGGACCAGTCAGGCTATAAGAGTCCGAATGTGAGTGTTAGTAACTTGTATCGAAAACAGACTGAAGAAATACCTTTAGAAGTTAAAGTCAGTGGGACACAATATGATGCATCTGTGAAGGTAGGTGAGTAGTCATTGGAAATATTCTAAAGGCTGTTAGATGGCTGTGCTGTTTCCTGTGAGAAGTGGGACTATGAGAGGAGATGGATGGATGGTACATTCATGACAAGGGACCTTTACAGGTCAAAGTGATGTTCAGATTCTGCCACACACATTATTAAAATATGTCATGAGAAAAGGAAGAAACAAAGTGCTAGAGAGACCCACAGAAATCCACAAAGATACCCCCACAATAGACTGCTGGCAATGGTCGAGAGACAGCCGGAACTGACCTACTCTGGTGATGGGATGGCCAAACACCCTAATAGTCATGCCAGAAACCCCATCCAAAGACTGAGGGATCTGGATGCAGAGATCCACGGCTAGGCCCCGGCTGGAGCTCCGGGAGTCTAATTAGCGAGAAAGAGGAGGGTTTATATGAGCAAGAATTGTTGATAAAGCACAGGGACAAATAGCCAAACGAATGGAAACACATGAACTATGAACCAAAGGCTGAGGGGCCCCCATCTGGATCAGGCCCTCTGAATAGGTGAGACAGTTGATTGGCTTGATCTGTTTGGGAGGCATCCAGGCAGTGGTACTGGGTCCTGTGCTCATTGCATGAGTTGGCTGTTTGAAACCTGGAGCTTATGCAGGGATGCTTGGCTTAGTCTGGGAGGAGGGGACTGGACCTGCCTGGACTGAGTCTACCAGGTTGATCTCAGTCCTCAGGGGAGGCTTTGCCCTGGAGGAGGTGGGAATGGAGGGTGGGCTGGGGGGAAGAGGAGGGGGGCAGGAGGCGGGAGAACAAGGGAATCTGTGGCTGATATGTAGAACTGAATGGTATTGTAAAATAAAATAAAAGGAAAAAAAATAACATCAATATTTTAACATATTTTGAAATGTTCTTAGGCTAATAAAATGTAACTTTTATATTTAACTTTATCATGTATGTATGAATATTTCTTAATTGTTTTAAGTATAATTATTCATTTTGAATATTTTTTTATAATTAAAGGTGGTTTGTTGGAAATGTTCTGACTACAAAGCTCAGCTTGAGTATGATGGTGGAAGATTGAACAAAGTCTGTAAAGACTGTTACCAAATAATAAGTGGATTCACAGACAGTGAAGAGAAGAAAAGAAAAGGAATTTTGGAGGTAAACTTAGTCAGTTCTTTGTATTTTTAGATAACACTCTCCTGGTCATAAGGAACACAGACAATGTGCTTATTTATTTTTGTTGCATTAGCACCCAGGCTAACAGTGGGCAAGAGTCATGATTTACTTAGTTTGTTGGCCTTGGACTCCTGCCTAACTATAGAAAGTAAGATGGACAGATGTGTGCATGTCTTCTTAGTGGGAAGCTTTCAGTTTCATCATATATTAATGTTGAAAACCACTGCATGAAAATTTTCAAATTTGGATAAATTACTGTTTTATTACCTAAAACACTACTTCAGCTTGCTGTGTTAAAAGACAAGTTCTTTGTGGTGATTTAATAGCCAGGGGCAACAGTTTCACTGTCAAAGCCCATCTCCAGTAAATGTGACTCATATTTTAGAGTTAATTCAGACTAAAAGTAGCCTGTATCTGAAGTGAGTTTACCATGGAAAGATGTGTTGGCAAAATAAGGATAATTTGTATAATAAGGCCTTGCAGTGGAAGGTCAGGATCACCTAGAGGTAGGATTAAACTTTTTTTCATCCAAAGCCATAAATATACTTAGTTTCTTAATAATGTTGAAAAGTAAGTAATTATGTACTGAGCATTTACAAGAAAATATACAAAAGTCGTTTGTTAGCTGAGAAAGGATCTTAAACTTCATTGTCCATTTGAGGTTAAATTGTAAGCCCACAAGCTACAATTGTAGTTCTAAATTCTCTTAGGATATAGATATTACTGGTATTGCATAAAGATGAGGCTTTCATGGGCAGGAGGAATGGGGAGGTTATTCTTCATTGGATCACAGGACCACAACCTCAAGGCTTTAATAGGAATAACTGACTAGTGTGACAAAGTACAGTGAGCCTGAGACTGTGTTTTTAGAGAAAAGATTTAGGTTGCTTCTATAAAATAAAAAAATCTTTGGCTTTTTAGAAAATCTTATGCTTGGGGAGAAATCATTAATTGGATTAATTCATGTAATCAAACAAAAAATGTCTGGAAGAAGAAAATAAGCATGCCCATGTACACATAGAGCATGTCTGAGCCCTTACCCTACACCAGCTAATATACTATATACTCTAGACCAGTAGTCAAGCTTTTTGTAAGCAGTTCGGAGGAAACATTTTTTATAGGCCAAGAGGCCAAAACAGGGATTTACAGAGGTATTTTAAGGGAGAAAACAAATTTTTATTGACAAAACTTAAGATATTTAACTCCGTATATTTGTAAATTTTTTCCATTTTTTGTATGTTTCTTTTGTGTTTGTGTGTCTGTATGTTCTTGCACGTGTGTAGACACATGTTTTGAGGTATATGTGCACATGTGTGTTCGTGCATATTGTAGGCCCAAGGCTGACATCAGGAATTATCCTCAATTGCTCTTCCACCTTACTCATTGGGGACAGGGCCTCTCAAACAAACCCAGAGCTCACAAGTATGATGTGGCTAGTCTTGCTAACCAGCCTGCTCCTGGGAGTCCCCTGTCTCTGCCTTCCAAGGCTGGAAGCACAGGCAGGTCACCATGTCACCTGCATTTGTGTGGGCCTGGGGCCAGGACTCCTGTCCTCACATTTGCAAGGCAAGCATCACCTGCTGAGCCATCTCCCCAACCCTGTAAGCTTCTTTCTGTGCTTTCAAACTGCTACCCCATTGTTCAGATTTTTTTTAGGAAAGAAAGAAACATTCCAAAATATATTATTTAGTATATGAATTTTTAGAATCTGAATTTACAACCTTTTTGAGGTTGGATGGTATTTCCATCAAGTTGATTATAAACATTCATCTGTTAAATTATTGACTTATCGGACATACAAAGCACAGTGGTAGACTGGAGCTGACTTGCAGATTGTCATTTGGTTGATGCTTCTTAAAATACCTAGGGCCACACCTTGAGTATATCCCAAATCATCACTTATCCATGAAAATCAATAATCATGCACTCTCAGAGTTCTCTATTGCAGCGGTTCTCAGCCTTCCTAATGCTGTGACCCTTTAATACAGTTCCACATGTTGTGATGACCTCCAACCATAAAGTTATTTTTGTTGCTACTTCATAACTGTAATTTTGCTACTGTTATGAATCATAATGAAAATATCTGTGTTTTCCAATGGTCTTAGGTGACCCCTAGGAAAGGGTTCTTCAACCCCCAAGGGCATTAGAACCCACAAATTGAGAACCACTGCTCTAGAGGAACAGAACTAGTAGAATGAATGTCTGTGACACAATATGGAAGAGGCTGAGAGAACCCGATAGCTATACAGTTCACGACCTTGACAGTTCCGGTTTGGCATTGAAGGCCTGGGCAGTTCTTAGAAAGTTGCTGACTTGAGCTCAGGTTGGAAATGAAGAAGATAGATTCCGAAGTCAGCAAAAACGACAACTGCAACCATGGGAGACATGCCTTCACCCACAGGAAGGAGGCAGCGGCACAGCACTCCTTTCCTCTGGTCTCGCAGTGTCTGAGCTGCTTCCCATCTGAGAAGAAGGGTCTTCTCTGTCTGGTCATTCCTGGAAGTGCCCAAGCAGACCTGCCCCGAGGCCTGTGTCTTAGTTAATTAATGCCAGGTCCGCGTGGGTTGACAGTCAAGATTAACTACCACAAGTACCCTCAAAAAGCCAATAGCTTTTCCTTTGTTGTTTTGTTGCTGTTTTGAGACAGTGTCTCACAAAGCCTAAGCTGGCCTTCATTTTAGCTAAGAGTGACCTTGAACCTCTGATCCTTTTCCCTCCACCTCCCAAGTACTGGGATATAAGCATGCAGCACCATGCCTGGTTTGTGTGTTGTAGTTTGAAGAGCTTGAGAAGAAAATGTTACATTTCCCCAATGACTTACTTTTTGTTTTGTTTTGTTTTTTGATGACTTACACTTTTATTGCTAGACCCATATTATATAAGAGGCTACATATGAAAAACTATTTTTAATTTTATAAATAAAACAGTGGGGATTTGTTTGCTTTCTTTTTGGTGGGGCTTAGGGGGCAGCTGTTTGGTTGGTTTTTTTGTTTGTTTGCTTTCTTTGTGCAAGTACCTATGTTATAGTCCTGATTTGAACTCTGACCTTTTATAGAAAGGTTTACTGACTACTATTCTGAGCACGTATTAGATGGCACAAGTAAGGCTCCACAGTACATTTACCTGTATCTGTGCACGCAGTACATTTACCTGTATCTGTGCATGCAGTACATTTACCTGTATATGTGCACGCAGTACATTTACCTGTATATGTGCACGCCCTTATCCCTCTTACATCATTGTGGTCTGTGGACAAAATTGAGTAGCACTACCCTAAGGTTTTTGCATAGGAATAGAAGCAAAACAGTTTACTTCTAATAAAGCATTTTAGTTAAATATTTCTGTTTCCCATTTATCTAGTATTTAATCTATTAGTAAGCAAAGCAGAAAGCTAAGTTGCTTTTCACAGGTTTGTTCTTGTGAGATGCTTCTAGTGAGGACAGAGGATTATCAGTCATAGCTTTTAATTACAACCCTGTAAGGACAGAGGGTTGTTGGTCATATCTTGCCTTTTTACTTTATATTCTTGCCTTATTGGAACATTAGGGCCATAGGTTCAATGTCTTGATTCAGGCTGACTGAGCTCAAATTCGAGCACACCAAATTCTAAATTTGTAATTCTTGGGGAATCTGATAAAAAAAAAAAAAAAACAACTTTGAGCTTTAGAAACAGTGAAAGCACTTAACTTCTCAGTGTTGGTGTGAATAATACACATCTCAAGCAAAAAGAAAGTCTATAGTAAATGATCAGTAAATGTTGAATATTTAAGTACAAAGTCTACTAAGTTATACAGAGAGTTAAAGATGACCTCAATAGGTTTTCATCTTACAATAGAGAAAAACTAGTAAATGCAAATATATCTTTTTGGAAGGCAACTCAAGATGAGATATATAAATATACTGTGCTTTATAAATATTTCCTTAAGGCATGTTTCATCCCTATCTGATTTATTATGTTTATTCTTTCCATTGTGTTTTCTAGATTGAATCTGCAGAAGTATCAGGAAATAGTGAAGTGTGCAGTTTTCTCCAGTACATGGAGAAGTCAAAACCTTGGCAGAAAATATGGTGTGTGATCCCCAAGCAAGACCCCCTTGTGCTGTACATGTATGGCGCTCCTCAGGTAACTATGCCATGCATGTTTGAACGGCATGGCCAGGACAGAGGGAGGCATGTGGACACTGATCCTAGGAAAACAAAAGAGCTCAGCATATCACTGTGTCCCATCAATTTTAAAAATAATGAAAAGTAAAATCAATTTTATTGATTTAAACTGACAGTTCTTTTCATAGTTGCATATTATTCACTTGATAAATCATTAGTCACTTTTCCTCTCTTATTTAGTAGGTGTGAGAAAAGGTAAACTGATTAAGGGACATGGGAGTGAGTAAGCAGGAAATGAAGCAAAGGGAAATAAAGACAGGGAGGAAGCTGTTTGTAATGACAGGAAACGGGAGACGTCCTGTGGTTGGTTTTATTTGTTGATAGTGATAGAGACCTAAGGATGAAGTAGTTTGAAAGGAAGAGGGAGTTTATATAAATTGTGTGCTAATATTAAATTAATACTAAACTCAGTAACAAGTTTTTTGTGAATCGTGTACAGCTAAGCTGGACACCTAGGGTCAACTCAAATGCCAGGTTAGCTTCCAGCACAAGCCAGAGCCTGGTAGATAGATTATTTTCCTTTGAAAGTGAACAACACATAAAGCAATTATATATTCATTCACTTTAGAAACATAAAAAATTAAATTTGTTAGATTTTAGCTTCATCCTACAGCAAGAACTAGTAAATTTCTCTTTTTAGAAAGTCCCTAAAAATGCCAAGGTTTAGATTTTATTCTCCTTTTCTGTTTCTCCTGCCTATAGATAACTTGAATGAATCATTAAAGATAATATCACTATTAATTCTTAGTAATGTGTGCTGGCTTTAAACATTAAGATGCTGTAATTTACCTCCATCTTCCCTCTTCACTAAGTGGAGAAGTGCACAGGCTCTGAATGAGCTCCCCAGGGGAGCTGCTTTCCTAGCTCCCCAGGCTGTCAGCTCTACTGGATTCATTTTATCTCGTCAACTTTATCATTGACCCCATAGACACTAAAATCCACTCTCTGTCCAAAGAGAGTTCCTAGAGTGAGGATCCGGGGACAGTGGTCAGGAGAGAGTTGTGCAGGCAAGGACCACATGTAACTCTGTAGCAGTAGGTCTTATACTCATATGCACAATGTCCTTTGCTTAGGATGTCAAAGCCCAGGCGACCATACCACTCCTGGGCTACATTGTGGATGACATGCCCAAGAGTGCAGATCTGCCACACAGTTTCAAACTGACCCAGTCCAAGTCTGTGCACAGCTTTGCTGCAGACAACGAGGAACTGAAACAGAAATGGCTGAAAATCATCCTTCTAGCTGTCACAGGTGAGACACCAGATGGACCGAGTGAGCATCTAGCCAGCTTGAACAATCTCCCTGGACCCAAGAGAAAGTCAGAATGCTAAACTGCAGCAGCTGCCAGTGTGGAGTCTCAAGTAAGACCAATAGCTCAAGACATCCCCAACTCTCCTTCCTCATCTCTTAGCACTTTATATTGAGAAATATGGTTTCATAAATACATCTTTTGGGGACTTTTTAAATATGTTTGTATACTCTTAGTAAAATCAATGTGCAGAGCTATTCTTCTGTTGAAGTTCTGAAATAATGTGGGAAGTGAAACATTTTTGATAAGCTATTCCTTAACTATGTGTGTTGGCCTTGACGGGGTGGGTAACCATGTCAGTTGATTGTATCACTACCTGGTTATAATGGGCCTTTCATTTAAGAAATCCTTCAATGTCTTGTTCACTTGTAACAGTGTGAAAGATATACCTCCATGTAACCAAAATAGATCTATGATTTTAAAAAAAAAAGTACAGGGACAGTTTAGAGAGTACTGTATGAACTTGTCTAGTCTCATACTACATTCATGGTTTCTGTTCTTGTACAACACAAAGAAATATAGGTTGTTGATGTTCATACTTTTTGACTTAAGATAATACTGGGTTTTGTAGAATTACTCCTAATAATAAAATATCTAAAATATAAATCAATGTACTTGTATATAGTATCGAAATAAGTATGAACATGTGAGCTTCTCTCTTCAGCTTTAGTTTTGTTTTTACTCTGGTTCATTTTTTAAATATAAAACCTATTTTATCTCTGAACTCAGCACTGTTCTAAAGTTAATAAAAATTTTGGGTAATTTATGTTGAACTGATTGGAATCTAAATGTATTCATATTTTTATAGTAAAAAAGCAGTAATTATGTGATGTAGGATATAGTTTGAATTCCAACAGTATTTTTAGAGTGCTATTTTTTTTTGTTCTATACCTATTTAAAACAGTGCCTCTCTTAGAAGGTGCTATTAATACTTATTTAGATAAAAGATGAGGGTTTAGTTAATGTTAACTAAACATTATTATTTTACCTATTCTGATTATTCTCAACTTAAGTGCACTTTGGTCACTGAGATAAAAAATTGTATGGATGATTTTACATTTTACAATAACATAATTGTCTTAGTAATTTAATGTCAGTATATACAAAAACTTTCACTAAAACTTGAACTATATAAGACATTTAACCTTATACAGACCTGGGATATGTGGGAAACATTTGTTTAATGTTTAATGTTTTCCTTTCCATAAGACTATTGTGAATGGTAATAATGAACACTTAAGATAACTGTGTGAGCTTTCCTTTTATCAGCTACAAAAGCTTATACATGTGCCAACTTACTTGGGAAAAGGAGTTATTAGATAGATAGTAGAGGAAATTTATGTTTAATCATGCACTAGAAAAGAGAGCTGAAATCAGTATTGCAGAATCAATGGCAGGTTTCCAGGAGATGCAAAGCATTGAAGAAAGTACAGAATTATTCTCCCTTTTTTATCCCACATGGAATCTCAGATGAACTATGGCTGTCTATTATAAATATAAAGTCTGCTCTTCATTAGTTTGTAACTAAAATGTCATTTTGAATTGACTATTTAACTTTTAATACTTTTCTCAGAGGGTTTTTTCTCACTTTCCCATACTCCAAGCATTACCACTCTTACAGTACTGTTTACTAGGAATCGATAAGAATGTCTCCACTACACACAGTCTTTAAGGGCTACACTTGAGATGTAAGTATGGTTACTCAGAATTTGAGACCACCACATGTTTGTTTATACAGCTCATGCTGCATGAGTAATGTCTCTTGTTTTTCCTACTTCAAAGGAGCAAGGGAACCAACCAGGTTCCCTTCGTCCATGAAATCCCAGACATGATCACTAACATTAAATCATCTACTCAGAGCCGCCAGTGGGAGAAACAAAAAGCCAACTTCTTATTCCCTACTAAATGAGGGCCGGAAAAAAAAGAAAAAAGAAAGAAATTGTACATTGTTTTTCTTTTCTAGTTGTCTGCATTGATGCTGCGTTTGGGTGGGAGAAAGAGACAGGTGTGCAGGGTACCTGTTGACAAAATTAAACAGCAGCTAGACTTGTTACTTTACTTTTCATATCTCAAGAAAAGAGAAGCAGTAAAAATGTAGAATGACTATCAAAATAAAGATAAATATTTTGTAAATATAAATAGAATAATGAATGAGATATTCCACTTAGAAGATTTATGTCAGATTATTTAAAAAAATATATTTGATGAGCAAGAAGACTCATGTTTGCCTACCAGCAAATTCTTGAATAGAAGTAATGTGGATAGATATTCAGTGTTGTTTAACTTAGCTTATTGAAAGAATACTCATACGAAGGATGTTAGCATGCTCTTATTGTTCATTAAATTAGGATGTTAGTGCCAGAAGAGGATCTGTGGCCATCGGGTGCCACCTTTACCGCCCTCCCCACACTCTTAGCCAAGCACAACGAGCATCTGTCCCCATCTCACTCTCAAAAGAATCACTGATGTTTTCAGTAGGGGGATTAAGAAAAGTAATAGAGTAGTAATATTAGTTACTTGCTAAAAACTCAGCTCTGGGGCTAAGGATGAGAAACGGAGTTCAGTCAGATCTCCAGAACCCACACAAAGGCCAGGTGAGCACGGCCCAGCACAGCAGAGGCAGGGACAGGAGACCCTGGTGCAGGTTCGCTAGCAGACAAGCCAAAGCAGTGAGTACAGGTGCAGCAAGTCACCTTGCCTCAGTGAGGTAGAGAGGTACCAAGGGAGTCACCTGACATGAAACTCAGATCTCCACACATATGCATGGATAACGTGCACTTATACACATATTCAAAAATTTAAATAAACTCTAATCCAAGAGGTAATTAGAATAGTTAACCTTTCTGAGATAACTGAGGTTTCACGATAAATTGAACCTGAAAAATATAAGTTACTTTCTTATTCAAATAAATGTTCTATATGGTTCTTAATTTGTTGTTTCCTCTAATTCAATGCTTTCAAAAGTCATCTTCAAGAGAAGTGTCCTTGCAAACTTAAGAAAGTATTTATTTGATAAAACCATTATTCATTTAAAGCATTCCACTTTTGTTGAAAGTCTACCATTTAGTAAAAGTGAGATGTAGTGCATACTTTTATCTTGAGTTTTTTAAAATGGAGTTCAATAATGAAAAATACCACTAGCCACTTTTGTAATAATGGCAAGCAATAAAACTCTCCAGGTATGAGTTTATGCTAAAAGTTGAAGGCCCTAAGCCACAGCATATAGAGAATCAGCTTCCTAGGAGTGACATGGTAATTGAAATTGCTGAGCATGGGGAAAGAAAGGAACAGAAGCCATTGTTCCATGGTTTCAGATACTATCAACTGTGTTTTAGTTTTACCAAGAATATGTACTATCTTCATTGGGTAAACTACACCAATTATTTTTAATTATAAAAATTAACCTTGTAAATGTTTCCTGTGGAATTTTCTAAACAGAGTATTTGTTGCAGTCACAACTGTTTAAAGAAAAAAAAAAAAAAAAAAACACCTGTAAATTCTGCGGTACTTCAGGGTTATTGAAGAGTCATTGATCCTTCTAAAAGCCTTTTCCCAAAAATACTTCTGGGGTTCATGATTCTGTTTTTCCTTCTCCTCCTTGTTGAGATAGAAATGGTTTCTCTCCTTCAATTATTTTCAATTATCATTTGTTTATCTCCAAAGCCTTAAGTTATTCAGAGCTTTTTGTCTGCAATGCATTGTTAATCATGAGCTCTCTGCAGGTGTTGTGATAGCAAATGAGCAGAAATAAGAGCAAATAACTGTCTAGGAAGCACAGGTCTTGTTCCGGCAGTTATCTCTGGTGTTATACAGAGTAGAAAGTAACTTTACTTTCCTACATCACATGATGTTCCTGTTAATAGATCAAAGATAAGCACATGGTATTTATAATCTAAAATCTGAAAAACAAGAAAATCTTTGTATTTTCTTTCTTTAATGTTGTGTTCTTTGAGTATATGAATATATGAACTATGGCTAAAGAGTTCCTCTTGTTAGAATTATGTTGATATCTATAGTGGATCCTATAACTTCTTCATTCTTAGTTTCATTAGAATCAAATTACTTTTTATTTTAATATAACTACTGAGCTATAGGTTCCCTAGATTTTAAAAAAATGAGTATTAGACCACTTGCTCTATCTAAAAGCCCCATCTGTGACTTTATATGTATAAATGTAAAAAATATTACTCTTCAATTCTCACCAAAGGAACAAAATGTTATGTAAATTTTAATTTAAGTGTTTTAACAAAAATTATTCACAGGTATTCAATGTTATAATTCTTCTTTACACATGCCCCTCAATCTTCCCAGGTTACAGGAAGAGACAATGTTGCTTTTGTTGCAGGTGTAGAGAGAGGAATATGGTTAGCAGCAGAAGCAACAGAAATGAATAGATGTGGGTAAGTGGACTGCTGGTCTCCAGGGAAGAGCAACATAGCAAAACACTGAGCTGCGCACGGAAAATCAAGTAGAAGATATCCATGTACTTGTTTGTTGATGGAATCCTTGTACCCAGGCTTTGGCCTTAGCCTCTAAATTATAGATGACACTATCTTATTATTGCTTTCTTTTTTCTTTAAGCTTTTAAAAAATTTTCTGCTGGTTTTGACTCTAAATTCAACTCTCTAAGCTAAGGGCATGGCCAAATGCTGTGTCTTTTATGTACTTCAAGATAAAATAAAGCATGGCTTCTACAAGACAGTTAATTTGTTGGGGGAGCATCCCTGGAAGTTGCAAGAAGGTTTTCCTTTGTCCTGAAATTCATTTTGGTCAATTTAATAAAATATCAAGTCATATTTTAATATATTTTAATAAGCGAATGCTAAATACAAAGTAAAGACATGTTTGGGGACAAGCAGGCCATGGAGCCCATTGCGACACAGAATTGCATTGTGTGTTATGGTTTATGAGAACTCAAATGTATCATAGGTACCATTAGCATATAATCATTCACATATAAAACCAAACTGGTATTTCATCTTTTAAGAGACAATTAACTGTTATTTAAAAATAAGTATTATCTTGATTTTTCTTTTGACATGATGACTGAGTTTGAAAGGGCATATCAGAATATTATAGTTGACGCTAATGTGAAAAAATAAACACCCAATTTTCCAGTGGTATGAATGTAAAATACTTGGACATAGTGTATATATAGTGTAACATCTGTATATTTGATCATAAAGTCAGGTAATTGAAAACATTGTAAAATTAAACCCTTCAATTCTTGTTAAATATGAAACATTTGTATCTTGTAAATAAAGATCCTTAAATTGGTTCTGGAGCCTTGACTGTTATTTCCACTAGGACTATGTGTATTCAGTATTCATGATTTTGATTTTCTGATCAGATAAAAGGTTATTCCAACAGGATATTGATACTTCTAGATTCTACTCATCAAAAATCCTAAGAAACTTTCAAATGTGATGTCACAAGTAAAACTTTTCCAGAGATCACATTTTTTTATAAGTTTATCAGCTTTTTTAGGCCATAAATAATTCACAATTTATTAAACACTATATAAAAGCAATTGGCCTCAGCTAAAGGATTGCTTACAATGAACACAGCCTTGGCTCTTCAGCATTGCTTGTTTGGATTCATGGTTTTTCTGGGTGGAATATGTAGAGAGCACCAGTGTGTGATAATTAAGGGCTTCTCAAACTTTGTTCAAGGCATAGTGTTAAAATGAAGACTGTGACTTAGCAGACCCACAGCACAGTGTTAACTGTCCTCGATCGGCTGCTGCTCCTCAGAAGAATATCAAGAGTAAGAAAGGCTTTGTCAGGGAGAGCTGACTGGAAACCTCTGGTTGTGTCTTTTACTATTGTGACTTCAGAGATCAACTCAACTCTTTCTTTCTTTTTGTTTTTTTTTTTTTTTGTGGTTTTTTGGTTTTTTGAGACAGGGTTTCTCTGGGTAGTTTTGCTCCTTTCCTGGAACCCACTCTGTAGACCAGGCTGGCCTCAAACTCACAGAGATCTACCTGCCTCTGCCTCCGGAGTGCTGGGATTAAAGGCATGCGCCACTACCGCCCAGCATAAACTCTTTCTTGAAGAACAGTGTGCCATAGATGACACAAATGTATTACCTGCTCCATATGAGGCATTGGCTCCTCATTGTTAACATTAGAAATCATTTAGTTAAGGCAAGGCCACAGCGGCCACCTCCGGGCCCCGCGCCGCCTCCGGAGCCCATGGCCTGGACTGCGGCTGCAACTGCAGCAGCTGCCGGGCGCACCGGCGCCGCCTGCTGCTGCTCCTCGGGGCCGCCGCGGCCGCCGCCTCCCAGACGCGCGGCCTGCAGCTCGGGCCTGCGCCCGCGGGGAGACTAGCGGGTCCCGTCCCTGCCCGGCCCTCCGCCGCCGCGGCCGCCGCCGCGTCCTACTTGGCCCTGCGCGCCCCGCTGCTCCCGCGATGCGCTGGGTTACAGCCAGGAGTCCAAAACTACCCACCTGGAAGACCTCCCACCACTGCCCGAATATGAGTTGAGCCCGTCCAAGTTAGGACAGGAGGTGGATGATGTTTATCGCGTTCGCGCTCAGGGACTGCCTTGGTCCTGCACTGTGGAAGATGTTCTTAACTTTTTCTCAGACTGCAGGATCCGCAACAGTGAGAATGGATCCATTTCCTCTTAAATAGTGATGGGAAACGGAGGGGCAATGCCTTAATTGAGATGGAGTTGGAACAGGACGTGCAGAAGGCCTTAGAAAAGCACCGGTCCTGGATCTGATTGAGCAAGTCTGGTTTCTGTAACTTAGTTTTCTGTTGTAGAAGATATATTACAGTTGTGAGATGATGTTCCCATTCAGTGCCGCTCTTCAGAACCTTACTCCCGCTTGTTTTTGCCTATGATTGAGAGCTCTGATATAAAACTTCTCATGGAATAAAATAATGGTGTATTTTTACCAAACACCTGGCTTTTCAATAGAGATTTTTAAAGCCAGAAGGGCCTAGTGGATGTTTTACAATCTCTGAAAGACCACAGATGCCAGCCCAAAACATATACAAAGCAAAACTGTCTATCAGAATCAACAAAGAAGGAAAACCATTTCATAATAAAAAAAACAAATGTAAATTTCTGTCCATCAATCCATCTCTACAGAAGGCACTAATAGGAAGACCTCACTCTGAAGAGAAAGTTAGTTACACTCAAGATGACACAAGGAATATATATATATATATATTCCTCTTGGAATAACTCAACCCAAACAAGTGCAAGATTATATAATTATATTATATTATATATTAAGACACTAAAGAAAATATTAGAAGATGGAAAGATCTCCCATGCTTAGGAGTCAGTAGGATTAATATGGTGAAAATGGTCATCCTACCAAAAGCAATTTACAGATTCAATGCAACCCTCATCAAAATTACAACACAATTCTTTACATAAATTGAAAAAATCTTAATATGAAAACACACATACACAAAAAGTCAGGATAGCTAAAACTATAAAATAACAGCTAGATATATTACTATCCCAGATTTCAAGTTATATTACAGACCAATAATAATTTTTAAAAAAATCATTGTTTTGGCAAAAAGAAAAAAAAGACAAGTTAATTAATGGAAAAGAATTGAAGACCTTCTCCCTCCCCTGCCCCCTCACCAAGAAAACAACTCCCTGAGACACCAATGAAAACTGGAGTCATAAGCCCAGCCTGCACCAATTTGAAACAAGTAAGGCCCCATCTCCGGACTGGGCAGACCAGGTCCCTAGCCTCTAGGCCCAGGGGCACATTCTGTGCCCCTCCACCAAGCCATTGGAGCCCCCAGGAACCAGCAAGCTGCCTCTTACCTTACTCCTTTGCCAAGAAAACAGGTCCCACCCTACACGGATTAGGAATAGCTGCTCCCTGAGACAGAGCCCACTAGTGCCCATTGGACTAAAATCTGCTCTCTGAGACACAGAATCCACCAGCACCAATTGGGCCAACAGCCTGGATTAGACCAAGAGCTCCCATTAGACCAAGAATATCAATTGGACCAAAAGAGGCTCCCTCAGACAAAGACACCACTTGCATGGAGTGAAGGAAGAGATGTGTAGACACCATTGCAAAAATTACAGTCAACAACATAAAGACCAATATGGCACCATAAGAACCTAGTGGTGCTACATCAGCGAAACCTGAACATCCCAGAAGAAACAGAAGAAATTGACCTTTAAAATGACTTAAAGAAGATGATACAGGCCTTTAAAGAGGAAATGAAAATTTCTCTTAAAAAATTCACAGAAAAGACAAAAAACTGGAAGAAATCAATAAATCCTTTAAAGAAAGCCAAGAAAAAGCAATTAAACAGGTAAATGAAATAGTCCAAGATTTGAACAGTGAAATAGAGGCAATAAAGAAAAACAAACTGAGGGGATGCTGGAAATAGAAAATCTGAACAGGAACTGCAGATGCAAACATAACCAACAGAATGCAAGAGATGGAAGAGAGGATCTCTGGTGTTGAAGATACAATAGGGGAAATAGATTCATCTGTCAAAGAAAACACTAAAGCCAAAAAAGTCAACACAAAACGTCCAGGAAATTTGGGACACCATGAAAAGACCAAGAATAATAGGGATAGAAGAAGAATACCAACTCAAAGGCACAGAAAATATATTCAACAAAGTCATAGAAGAAAACTTTCACAACTTAAAGAAGGAAATGCCTATGAAGGTACAAGAAGTTTACAAAACACCAAATAGACTGGATCCAAAAAAATGTCCCCTCTCCACATAATAATCAAACTACTAAACATACAGAATAAACAAATATTAAGAGCTTCAAAGGAAAAAGGCCAAGTAACATATAAAGGCAAAACCATCAGAATAGCACCTGACTTCTCAATGGAGACTCTGAAAATCAGAAGGTCCTGGACAGACCATGGATGACAACCCAGACTATTATATCCAGCAAAACTCTGAACTGTCCTGATGGAGTAAACAGAATATTCCATGATAAAACCAGGTTTAAACAATATCTTTCCACAAATCCAGCCCTACAGAAAGCACTAGAAGGAAAATTCCAACCTAAGGAAGTTAGATACACCCACAAAACACAGGCAATAGATAATCCCACACCAACAAACACCAAAGAAGGGAAACACACAACACTACCAACAAAAAGTAACAGGAATTAACAATCACTGGTCATTAATATCCATTAATATCCATGGTCTCAATTCACCTATAAAAAGACACAGGCTGACATAATGGATACAAAAACAGGATCCATCCTTGTGCTGCATACAAGAAACACACCTCAACTTTAAAGACAGACACTAACTCAGAGTAAAAGGCAGGGGAAAGACTTTGGAATCAAATGGACTTAAGAAGCAGGCTGGTGTAGCTATCCTAGTATCTAATAAAACAGATTTCAAACTAAAATCAATCAAAAGAGATTAGAAAGGACATTACATAATTATCACAGGGAAAATCCACCAAGATGTAATCTCAATTCTGAACATTTATGCTCCAAATACAAGGGCACCCACATTTGTAAAAGAAACATTACTAAAGCTTAAATCACACATCAAACCCCACACACTAGTAGTGGGAGATTTCAACACCCCACTCTCAGCACTGGATAAATCTGCCAGATTGAAAGTTAAGAGAGAAATAAGGGACCGTGCAGAAGTTATGAATCAAATGGACTTAATAGATATCTACAGAATATTTTACCGTAACAAAAAGAATGTACCTTCTTCTCTGCACCCCATGGAACCTTCTCTAAAATTGACCACATGCTCACTCATAAAGCAAATCTCAATAGATACAAAAAAATTAGAATAACCTCCTGTATTCTACCAGACCACCATGGCTTAAAGTTACATTTCAACACCAACAAAAATTACAGAAAACCTACAATCTCATGGAAACTGATAATGCCCAAATGAATCACCAATGGGTCAAGGAAGAAATAAATTAAAGATTTCCTAGAATTCAATGAAAATGAAAGTACATCATATCCAAACTTATGGGACACTATTAAATCAGTGCTAACAGGAAAATTCCTAGCACTAAATGCCCACATAAAGAAGATGAAGAAATCTCACACTAGTGACTTAACAGCACACCTGAAAGCTCTAGAACAAGAAGAAGCAAATTCACCCAGGACAAATCGACACCAGAAAATAACCAAATTGAAGGCTGAAATCAATGAAATAGAAACAAAGAGAACAATACAAAGAATCAATTAAACAAAGAGTTGGTTCTTTGAAAAAATCAACAAGATAGACAAGCCTTTATCCAAATTAACCAAAAAGCAGAGAGAGAGAGCATCCAAATCAACAAA